TCTTTTGTCATATCAAATATTTGCCTTTTTCTAATTTTAGATTTTTACTCACTGAAGAAAAAATTTGATTATACCATGTGTATATATAAAAAGGCTCTATCAATTATTATGCGACAATAAATATATTTTTTAGGAAAATAATTTCAAAAAAAAGTTTTTCCATACTAGATAATGAATAAATCAATTTTTTAACTGAAATAAGATTATGTTTGCCATAACAATATCAATGTTTAAGTTTATCTGATAAAAAGTAATGCATAAAAGAAGTTATTCAGATATATATATTTTCTTTATTGGAAGAGAAGCAGCATGGCAATGATTTCGATACCGTCTATAAGTTTCGAGGGAATACGGTTATATTTCCTGTTAAATTTTCACTCAATTAACCAATGAAAAAGTTTTTCCACATTTTCAATGTGCCAAATAGCTATTCTCTTTCTTTTGAAAGGAGAGGAGAGATTTTTCTCCGTGTTGCAATTTTAGAATTGGCAGTGGTCTGACACTATTGGAAAATAAAGTTCGAATCTGCGATACTTTTTCTGGCCCATCTTCCTCAAATACCATCTCTCGTTCTCTCACTCTCCTTTATTCGCACTCCTTACGTACACAAATCTCCCGTAATCCGACGTGCTTGCCAAGCGGAGTGAGGAAGAAGTCATCCGGGAGGATGTAAAGGTGGACTCGACTTTATTGCAAACCATGCCTTCGAGTTAGAAAGATATATATGAAAGAATGAAACCAATAGATATAGTCAATAAGTAAATCCTGACTGGACTTTGCAATTTCAAATATCAAAAATACTAAACCTAGCTGAAAAATTCTTTGAGCATTATTTCAATTCTTTCTAAAAAAATTTGTTGACTTGATTTAAAAATTAACAATTCTATTTATATTTAGTAATGAAAATAATACTTCTAAGTGAGTGCTATAATCTTTTGGTGACATTAAGAAATTGTGGATTAGCTAATAGCAATGTAAGTCGTAATAATATTTTCCTATTGTCAAAATTAGTTGTAGTAGTTTTCGAATTCTATAAATTATTACTCTAAGTTCGAAATATTTAGTTTCATAAAAAAAAACAGGTTGCAACAGTTAAATAACAATTCTAATCACTTTGGGAGACATAACAGGCAATTAAGGACTTCTAATTAGATAACTAATTAATAAGCACCGATGTCCAATTTGACAAAAAGGAACAATTGTTGTAGTAGATCGAATAACAATGAAAAAGTGCGTATAATTTTTGTTAATTCCGCATATTTATTTTAATAAATGGTCTGACTTAATTAATATTGAGAATTAAGTATCAGAAAGGTTTGTTTAAGTCAATAACAGCAACTAAATACATAATACAATTATATTTCTTCAATTGTGTGTGTACAATTGGTAAAGTGTGTTGAAAGTTACGGTATGTTATTTGAAATTATACCGTGATTCGCGAGTTACAATACTAGATAATTGAGAATGAAATTTTATATGACTAAAGAATTGCGATAATGATCATCAGTCGTCGACAAGTACTTTTATTCTGATTTGTAAATTGTGAAGTTTTATGCAAAGAGAAGTTGAAAATTTTCGGAGGGAAGATCGACGTTTTGATTTTTTTTGGCACAAAAGGGCACCAAGTTTCTTGATTGGTTCTTTTGAGGAAAAACCCAAAAAGGTGGAGAAACCTAAAATTCGGGTAACCTGGTTGGTTCTCCAAAGGAACACCCACAAAAAAAGGTGGTGTTGATACCACTTTATGAATTTTACAGTACATAGACAAATCTGAACGAAACTGTTTATGGGTATATGATTAGAGTTTGAGAGTAATTATCCTAATCCCCTGAACGTAGTCCCTTCTTTTACAATGGTCATATAATTTAGAAGAACCCTTCTGTGAATTGGAACTTAACAATTTGATATTTTGTATACTTTGCTCACAATTTTATAATATTTATTTAAGATAAATATAAAAATAAACGAAAAATTTATGTTAGTGTTGTAAAGTGTACTGTTATAGTCTTAACCTAAGTACCTATTATAATTTCGACAAATTCACTTTATTATTACAAAAAAATATGAGTTGGGAAGCAACAATTTTTATGCAAATCGTCCAAATACCCATGAGTATCGACCCAACAGCGATAGGCGCTCCCCTTCCTCAATTCCTTTCTTTTGGCACAAATTATTTACCAAAAAAAAATATATACAGGTATCTACAGGATATAACACTCCCATGTGTCTGCAACGTCTGTAAAATCCTTCCATTAGATAAACAACTGCAACATAAATATTCAAATTTCTTTCGATTTTTACTATCTTGTGGATGTTCATCACGTTTTATCGTTTGAATGACGAGATTATTTCCAATGTTGAGATTTTACTAAATCCAAATCAAAATTTATTATTAAATAATCTAAGGTTGTATACGAAATATTACCCAATAATTATATCATTTTACGTAATTTTTTTTTCGAACATCCAATTAATTACAACAACGAAGAAAAATAAATCTCGGCATATGGTACTGAAGCTGAATATAAAGCTATATTCAAGAAAATCGAAATTGAGAATGTGGGATTTTAAAGCTAGCATGGAAATGTGTGAGTCCAGCTGAATCCCTGCTTATTAGCGTAAGAGGGAGTAGAATGGGAATATTGAAAATACGGAATGTCGAGAGATTAAAGCCATGGTAAAACCGCTTTTTAGCTCATCGCAAATTGCCTCTTTTACTACAAGTAAAGTGGCTTAAGAAATTATTTTTTTAAAAATATTATTACCAACAATTAGTTTTATAATTGTACGATAAAAAAATTTTTTTTCTGTATTTTTTAATTTCCCTTCAATTTTTACAAAAATTTTAATAAAAAAAACTTCTGGAAGTTTTATTAATAATAAATATATATAAAATATAATTATGGAGAACAAAAGGTTTGCGGATAACAAATGACTTTTGTTATTACGACTCTCCAAGGTTTATCCGCAAAAATTTTCCATATAATCCTATATAGAGTAATGGAAAAAGCAAATAATTTGCATTAAGAGAAAAATCGTGGTAGAGGGAATAATATTCAAATCATGAATAAAATCGTCCTTTTTGCGCGCCAAGCACACGCTGATAACGAAATATCCAACGTTAAATTCTCTTCGTGCATTTAATTCTCGAAAATCCGTATCCGGCGTAGTTAAGGTAAAGTGAATTAAATAAAAGATCGACGACGTTGGATATTAATCAACGTCAATTAGCGCATACTCTTTTTTTTTCCTCAATGCACGTGAACTCACGCCCGTTGTTGTATATAGTAGCTATAGCGCTATCGTCGTCAACCTATTATTATTCTGTGGCGACACGAATCGCAAAATTGCCCTCAAGTTTTCCGCACGCTCCCTCAAGAATATATATATATATATACAACAATTGTGAAATTCAAACCGGTACCATTTCTCAAGTTTTGGCACGTTCCATGTTATCCCACCTATTTCTGAAATGTTCTTTCTCGAAAAAAAATTTCAAAAGTTTTAATCAATTAGTTTTAATATAATATTGTGTATCATCATCGCAATTTTTAATTTACTAGAATTTCGAGTAGGAATTTAAATTCTTAAATTCTCTTAACTGCATTTTATTGCTTTTTCTTAAGATTAAAGTCACTTCAAACATTTTTTCCACTTTTCCTCGATTTAAATTAATTTAAAAAATAATAAATCTGATTTTGAATTGATGATAAGTAAAGAGGGAAATTAATTATGTGAGAGAATATTTAGTTATTTATAAACTAAAAAGAAAGGAAATTTTTAGCTTGAAGATTGTTTTTAAATAGAATATTTTTGAAAGGGGATTAAAAGAGTATCGTTTCCTGTCAAGCTAAATTCTATATGAAAGTGTATATTCAAATTCACGTATTAACAAACCAACTTGCCAAAGTCGTCAGATTAATAGTCGACCTGTAATAGATAAATTTTATTTTAATTTGTCCTTTCGTTCTGTTATGAAAACTCTCGCCAGATTGCAAAGACGTTCAGGACATCACTAACTATCAATGACATTAAAAGTCATCAAGGGAAGAGCTTCGTGGTGTATATATTATTGTATGAAAGTCCCGAATATTCAAGAACACCAGGAAGACGAAATTGCTGTTTTGTTGACGATCTGTCAAACTATTATTGTCAGTCAATTTCCTATGGACTTCTCGCATCAATTAATTTAACATCGGATATTGCAGGGATCTGCGTTACCGACGACCGCGTATCGATTATCGGTCGCGGATATTATATTATTGAATATTAATTGATCTAATTGACACCAAGAAGAGAGGCCGCTGTTTAGTAACGCTTTCGAGCTTGTCTCGTCAACCATTTTCTTTCATTCTCATTCCGATGTCCGTAGTGTAAACTTGGTTTTGTGTCTTCTTTTAAAGTAAATTAAAAATGTCATAAAAATACATTTGTGGGACGAGGCATCGTGGTCGTCAAATGGGCATTGAGTCCACAGTTATATATTATGAGTCATTTTCCTTCTTAATCGATCTCATTATTATTTAAGAATAATAATAAATAAATCTGAATCTCGTTATGCAGCCTTCTGCCACTTTCATAAATTTAATAAATTTGAAGAGATTAATAATAAATAGTTTTATTATTATAAATTATGTATAATTAATGGTGTTTATCCTTATCCCCCCTCTCCGCGGTCTTATATTGCAGAAAAGCAACAATAGAATTCCTGAGCTGGTTTTCATTTTTCCTAAGTAGAATTATAAAATTTACTTGTCGAGTTATTTAACTATTTTTCAAGATTTAGTTATTTTCCATAAAATAATTTGGCGTCTTGGCAAATTAATAATTAAAAAGTGTAGATAACGTACATTAAATTAAAAATATAATAATAAATTAATTAAAATAAAACTCATTAGTTTCACTCTTAAAAATTAACGTTAAAAATAAAAATAATTAAAATTTAAAATATAATCAATAATAAATTAAAATCTACGTTATAATATTTATTACTATAATTAGTATTAGCTGCGCCAAAATTTTCTTAAAAAACAAAAAAAAGTTTCGTAAATAAATACTGCTGTACAAGCTCATTTATAACTAATTATAAATTGTACTTTTCTGCATTTCTTTGTTTTAGACTCTGTATGGGAATTTTTATATTTGTTTGTTATATAACAAAATTAAAATTAAACTCGTAACATAAATGTTGTCACTAAAATATCACAAAACATTACTCATTAAAACTTTTCATTAGTACGTTTCAGAAAAAGAAGCGGTAAAAGGGAAACTATTGTGGAGTAGTTACATTTACAGGAAAGTGACAGTCCATTTATAAAATATTATATATATATATATTTTATGGTATATATGTATATGTAGAGAATTAGAAATATGATTAATATCCTCCAGTTAATTTCAGTTTGTAAATTGTATTTCACTGTCTTTTTGGATGCAAATGGAGGCACAGCTCTTTAGTGTCAAAAGCATAAATTCTAAGCCATTAGCATAAGGCACTAGAGGCCACTCGGAGCCTCGTGCAATTAAATAACTATATGCCATTTCAGGAGCGGATTCATGAGATTGGCTTCCGGGGCGTCGATTTGGGACTGCCCTGAGAAAGCTGATCTCCCCCCCCCACCCTTCTCTTGATCGATGAGTCTTTCACCCTCCAGGGGTTATATTCCACCAGTCGGCTTTTGTTATTTAATGTCAGTTTCAACTTCCTAACGGCAAAAAATTCAATATAATAGTAGATAATAATTTTAGCTAGTACTTTTCCCCAAAAATTCACAAATCTCTTTTATGAAAAGAACTTATTAGGCTTCTCTCTGATATTCTATTAAGTTCTTTTCATAGAGAGTGGATAATCAATTTTTACCAATTTTGGTGTATTTAATGTGATATGAAATGAAAATTATTGTGATTAATGAATTTAACAGAAAAAAGCAATTTATTGTTCTTTACGCCATTTGTGAATTAATTGTCCAACTTGTTATAGCGACAGTCTACAGGGTGGTCAATGAAAGGTGGAAAAAAAATTCCTTTCTATTTTTCGGTTGCCAAGCATACTATATGCAACCAGGAAGATGAAATCGCTGTTTTGTTGACAATCTCTAATAATACTTCTGGCAGCTATTTTCCTGTGGACTTTTAACGTGAATTAATTTAACATTGGATAGTTTTCCCGGGATATGCTTTACCGATTGCCGCGTATCGTTCATCGATCACGAATATTATATTATATTGATTATTATTGCAATTCATTTAAAAAAATTTATCCCTTTTAAAAAAAATCCCAAAAAACGGTTAAAAAACAGCGTCTTAATGTTGTTTCCTCCATTAATCTGAATAACACCGCTGTTTAGCGACGCCTTCGAAAATAACTCGTCGGCCATTTAGTCCTAATCAATAATTAATTAATTGAAGGTTGTTTCCTTCAGAGTCAAACCTATTGTTAAAAAAGTGTAATTTAATTAAATGTGAATCTTATATTTTCGACCTTCATAGCCATATTTTAATCTCTGAGCATTTTGTCAATAAATTAATAATCGGTAGTTTTGAAATCTGAATTCCTTAAAATTTTTCTACGATGCATTATTTACCAGGAAATCAGTTAGTACAACAATTATATTGAATTTTAACTTTGCATTTATTCGTGATTTGTTTAATCTAATTTTTGATACTTAAATTGCTATTGCTTTACTGATTCTTGCATTATTCGTATTATTATTTTATTTTACTACTACATTTTGAAAAATCGTAAAACTTCTATAATAATTTTATTAGTTCATATACATTGGCTATAGCATACGTTATAGTGTAATAAAATTATTATAGAAGTGTCACGAATTTTTAAAATATTGTCAAACTGGAAGGACAGCATTTATGTAATAAAGTATCCCTTATATACTATAAACTGTGAATTTTTGAATCGATTGGTATAGTAAAGAAGGGCAAAATGATCAAGAATAAATGGTTTTTATATTTTTAATAATGTCAGAAACAATATAATTTAGGCAAAAAAGTACATATGCCCAGTAATTTACATTTAATTTTTGCAATACAATCGCTCATAAGGCTTAGACATAGTTTCACCATTAATTTTATCTTCATAATAAGAAGCTTCATTTGCTACTTTGGAAAGCCATTCACCTTCTACTGTTTGAACACGAAACTTCAGAATTACAAAATTTATATTACTTTGATCAATCAAATTAAATTTTTCCTCAATAAATATGAATTTAGTTTTTGGAATAATTATATAAAACTTGGAATTTGCAACAATGTTTTTCACATGAATTGCTAAATATGGTTTGTTTAATATTAGTTTATAATAAGTAATAGAGATGGGCTCTTGAAATTTATTTATTTTAGATGAGGTTTCATAAAGATAATCCCATTCACTGCTGTCTTCATTGCAATAAAGAAATCCATTAATTGATATTGTTTTATATCTGCTAATTCGAATAATTTTATGAACGTTTTTTAAATGGACGCAGTACAATATCATCATTTGCTTCTTTCGAAAGGGTTGAAATGAATTATACTGTCGTATTGCTAAACTATACACAGCCTTCTTTAATCTCCAAACATAAGGTTCATCTAGATCTGTGTTAACATAAGGAGAAGACAAAAAAATTCTTATCGCATAATAATCATGAAAGGAGATAGTGTCAGTTAGGTCATTAGCCACATAGTCATCAAACGCAGATCCTGGGGAATGTTTATTATACTCATATGTAACGCATTTTCCAAACTAGTTTTAGTTTCTCTTTTCCGCCCCCTATTTTCAAGGACAACATTCCTTGGACCATCGGTTACCCCAAGGAATGGTCCAGAGACAAATAACAGTTGTTTCCTCGCCTACATCCGAGTAGGAACTTTTCATTTATCTACGGACTTCAATGTAAAGTTAACAATTCTTTTAAATAAATATTTGATATCTACGGATATATCTTTTTATTAATAAAATAAATAAGTGTTTTATTTCACCCGTCACATTTTTGGCGATCCTGCCAGGATAGCTTGATACGATCGCGATCAAAAATCGGCTATCCTTGTGAGAACCTTGTGAATTTAAATTTTTGTGAAAAATATTGTGACGGATTATTACGGTGATATTTTCACTGGGAATTACCGGAAAACACGGACTCGGGCCGAATTAAGTAAGTTCGACAGTGATTCCGTGGGTATTCAAGTCCCAGGAAAGGTGAGACGCCACCCAACCAAGTTGGCAACGGGGGAGTGTATTTCTTACGAGTGACACGACGCCACGCAACTAAGCTAGCAACGAGAGAGAGAGAGAGAGAGAGTACCTTACGAGTGACACATCTCCAGGCTGACCGTACAACACGACTTTCAACAATCAACGAGTAAGAAAAATAATTATTAGACAATAAATAAATAATAGTAAATATTAATAATAATATAATAATATTAATAATTAATATTGACAATAAATATTAATAGTAAATAAATATTATTATTATTGTTTATTTATAAACATTTTGTTAACAAAAAAAATATATATTATTATTTATTATTAAAAATTGTTATAAATTTTGCGAAATTATAAAATTCTACAAAATACGAAATTCAAAAAAAAAATTATAAAATAATCTCAATTACAAAAATAAAATTAAGCAAGCAAAAGATTTTTTTTAGACAAACAATTTATTTTGTAACATATTATTTATTTAAACGAAACTACGCTGGCTTTTCAATCGTATCTTAGATATTTATCCGGTTACGAAGTTACTGACAACCCTCGAGAAAAATCCTCTCACATTAATAAAAATTTACCCGAATTTTCAAATATCAAAATGACATCCACTCCAGATTTAGAGAACCTTATCCGCACACTTACTGACACAGTAAAACAATTAAACACTAAAATTTCGTGTATGGAGGAAACACAAAATAAAATGAACGGGAACCTTCTAATTCTTGGTAAAGAAAATTCCAGACGCGCTGAGGAAATCGAAGCGCTTGCTAAAAGAACCGACGCGTTAGTTACGGACGACTATGATACAGATGATTCACTAAAAAATTTAGACAATAAAGAACCATCCCGTTGTAAAGCCCAGGAAAATTTAAAAAAAATGATGTTGAGACGAGAATGTCTTCGTCCCAAAGTACATCGGAAAACCCACAGGGACCCCCGACTGGCGACAATTTTATGAGCGGAAACTCGGCACCACACGTAGCGAGGGCGAACGACCTGTTACCTGCTAAAGAAATAATTCGAACCGTAGAAACACTTAACGGGCGTGACGATGTCGGAACCGAAGATTTTATAAAAACAGTGCAACGTGCGCGACAACGTTGCAGTCAACCAGAATTATTGCTCGACTTTATATTAAGGGAAAAAGTAATCGATGATGCCAAAAGATCAATAAGGCATGTGTCTATAAATGATTATAACGATTTTTATCAAGCACTCAGGGTAATTTTAGGGTCAGGAACCTCGATTGAATTATGTCGTGCAAAACTAGATTCGTGTAAACAAGGAAACGAAAGTGTTCAAAATTTTAATCAACGTTTCGGAAAATGTTTAAATGAATTACATTACGCGATTCAATCAGAACACAGTTCACCAGCCGCGCGAAAAGTAGCTCTTCAGATAGAAGAAAAAACATCAATAAAACGATACATTATGAACCTTAGAGATGACCTCGGAATACAAGTCAGACCTTTAAAACCAAAATCCATTAATAAAGCCCAAGAAGAGGCCCTCGAAGCTGAGGTGTGGATCCGGGAAAAAATGAGACTTAGGATTTCTACAGCGTCAAGAAACCCGCAACAAAGCACGACACCTTTGCGCCCAGGTACGCGCCCTCCCATGTCAAGCAGATACAATAACCCGCCTAACCACAGCATGCCCCTCGCCCAAAGAGCACAGCTACTATGCAACTATTGTAAAAAACCGGGACATTTAGAGTCACAATGCTTCGCAAAGAACGGTAAGACACCAAATTTTCAACTGGACCAAAGATTAAAGAAACCCCCCGCGAGAGTACATATGACACAGGAAGAGTGTCAGGAAACGAACGAAACTCAGGAAACTCACAACGAGAATCCGGACAATATACAGACAGAATATCTTACGTTTCAGGACGACTTCAGTCAATCATACTACGACCTCGACTATTCAAACGAGACATCAGACTGCTTGTTGACTCAGGATCTTCAATAAATTTGTTAAAAGAATCTTGCGTTCCTGATAATTTCCAACAAATATCGCAAAACAAAGAGTTTAAAATGGGGAACGAATCGCACATATCTCAATTCAAAATCGAACTCCAATATCTTGACAAGACTCATATATTTAATGTTGTTTCAAACGATTTTCCAATGCCGGAAGATGGAATTTTGGGACTTTGTTTTCTTCAAAATTATAAATATAACTTGTCAAATAATAATTTGAATTTAGACAAAAAATTACATTTTTTGATGGATGACGGCATCTTAATACCTCCTAATCAAATGAAATTAGTTAAAATACCTGTTTCTAAACAAAATGGATGTGCAGCTTTTATGGACAACCCACATGTGCCTGACTCTATTTTTCGAATTTGCGACTCAAAAATAACTGTGCCTTTGGTCAACGATTCCCAAAAACCAAAATTAATTTCTATGACCGAACTAGACTATAAAATTCTAAAAAGCGAACCATGTGAAAATTTTGTTCATAATATTACACAAGATGAATTCGCAGCACGGCTTAGGTTACTAACAGAGAATAGTAGACTAGATCACATCGAAGGTGATATTCGTGAAATCGTACACAAAATCATTCAATCGTATCACGATGTCTTTTCACTTCCGGGAGATCCTTTACCCAGTTGTAAGTTAGCCTCACACCGTATTGTGCTTAAAGAAAACAAGATTGTCAATATAAAATCATATAGACCGCCCGAGGCTCATCGGAAAGAAATGAATGAACAAGTAGCGGATTGGTTAATAAAGAAGATAATTAGACACTCAAAGTCTCCTTTTAACTCACCACTTTGGTTAGTGCCTAAGAAAATCGATGCTTCCGGAGTACAAAAATGGCGAGTTGTAACAGATTTTCGTAAGATTAATGATATAACTGACCAAGACTCATACCCACTACCAGTAATAGACAATATCCTTGACCACCTTGGAAAAGCCAAATTCTTCTCAATTTTTGACTTGAAATCCGGTTTTCACCAAATACCCATGGAAGAGTCTTCAAAAAAATTTACCGCCTTTTCGACAACAGAAGGACACTTCGAATTCGAAAGAATGCCTTTTGGTCTCCGTAATGCTCCCGCTACCTTTCAAAGAATGATGGACCGAGCTCTCGAAGGATTAATCGGGAAAATATGTTTTGTATACCTCGACGATATTGTTGTATTCGGCTCAACCCTACAGGAACATAACGATAATTTAGTAACACTTTTCGAACGGCTCCGTCGAACTGGTTTAAAACTACAGCCGGATAAATGTGAATATTTACGTCCTGAACTGGAATATCTCGGACATTGCATCACTAAAGACGGCGTGAAACCTAATCCCGCAAAATTAGAAGCCGTTTCTAATTTTAAACAACCAAAAAATGCAAAAGAAGTAAAATCCTTCCTTGGCCTATCTGGTTATTACCGAAAATTTATAAAAAACTACTCTACAATTGCAAAATCGTTAACAGAGCTTACAAAAATCTCTAATCCTTTTATTTGGACTGATAAATGTCAAGAGGCATTTGATAAACTCAAAATGAGTTTATGTAAAGCTCCCGTTTTACGTTACCCGGATTTTGAAAAAGAATTTGTCCTAACCACTGACGCGTCCAATGTTGGTATAGGTGCAATTCTTTCACAAGATGGCCATCCGTGTTGTTACATATCAAGAACCTTAAATAAGAATGAACTTAATTACACCACTTCCGAGAAAGAACTACTAGCTATTGTTTGGGCAGTTAAACGTCTTAGACAGTATCTGCTCGGTAGAAAATTCAAAATATTAACCGATCATCAAGCCCTTAAATGGCTCTTTAATATCAAAGATCCATCTTCGAGATTAATGCATTGGCGACTTCGAATGGAAGAATACGAATATGAGATTGAGTACAAAAAAGGGTCAGAAAACACAGCAGCAGATGCCCTATCGCGAATTTTTGCAATTGATGAGGAAAAATCCGAGATAATGCCACATAGCTCTAATTTCGACTTGGAACTCGAACTACCTGAGATAGAAGAGTTAAATGAGAATACGGACCGTGATTTACATACGCCAGTGCCTCAACAAAATATTCAAACGCGACCAGAAGTTACTAGCCCATTTGAACCATTAATATTAAATTTCGATATCGACGAGAATCAAACCGTCACTATCGACCATCAAGAAGAAACAAATATAGAAACAGAACAATTATTTAAAGAATACTATAAATGGTTTGAAAAGCGCACCGAGTCTCGCGAAATCGAAAAACCAAACGCACCAGGGAAGCTTTGGAGAAGAATATCTAAGAATCGCGTGAACTTAAGGGAAAACGTTATAAAATTACCCGAATACAATGAAAAGAAATGGCTGCAAGCATTAGATCAACAAGCGAAATGGACAATTGAAAAGAAATACACCATTCTTCGCCTTCATTTCGACGACCCAACTTTTACGGCAACTGAAAAAATTAAATTAAAAATACTTATTTCTTTTTTGTGTTATAAATATCAAGGTCTAAAGGTACACACTTGCTTCAATGCAACCACAGAACTTACGCAAGAAGAACGCGAACAAATTCTTAAAGAATGCCACGGTTCAATAATGGCCCAACACTTCGGTGAAAATAAATCTATCTCACGTGCAAGAGAACTTGGAACTTGGACTAATATGGAAGCAGAAATAATTGATTTCATAAAAAAATGTCACACGTGTCAAATTCAGAAATTACAACGTATTAAACACAAAGCAGAAGCAATTATTCCGGACACACCAACTAACCCAAACGATAAAATTGCTATGGATATATTTGGACCTCTTCCGGTAACTGCACAACAAAATGAGTACATTTTGTCAATTCAGGACATGTTGACTAAATATTTAATTCTAGTTCCTTTAAAAAATGCTACCTCCGAATCTATCATAGAGGGACTTTTCGATCACTACATCTATACGTTTGGATCACCGAAACACATACTAACGGATCAAGGACAAAATTTTGTATCGGAATTAATACAGAACTTCGAAAACCTGTTTCGTATAAGGCATGTTAAAACAACAACTTTTCATCCCCAAAGCAACGGTAGTTTGGAAAGGGCACATTCGACTATTAAAGATTTAATACGGACAACGATGAGCGATAATCATGTAGAGTGGGACCATACACTTAAAATTATTTGCATGGCTTATAATACAATGATTCATGAAGGTACTGGATTTTCACCATTTCAGTTAACCTTTGGAAGAAATGCGAATCTACCTTCTCTTCTCGCTACAACTCCATGTCTTAAATATTCGGAACTAATCAAGTTATGGAAAGATAGACATGAAAAATATATCGAGAAGGCTCAAGAGAAAATACAGCAATCAAAGGAAAAATATAAGAGAGTTCAGGATGCTAGGATTGTCTTACCACAAAAAATATTTAAAATAGGTGATTTAGTTTTGCTTGAAAATGTTAAAAAGGATAAGTTATGCGCTGATTGGAAAGGACCCGCTACAATTATTAGTGTTAAAAACAATAACAATTTTGAAATACTATTTAACAACGAAAGGCATTTAATTCACTCAAATAAATTAAAACCTTATTATCAATAATTTCAGGGAACATGAAGATTATATTATGGGTCACAATCTTATTTTGCGTCCGAGCAGATATACACCTTAAGAACCTAAATGAACATTCTCAAAACCGCACACTACAATTGAACCAAATTATAAACTCCACTAATCAAAATAACAAACAAATCCTCATTACTAATTTAATCTCCACCGCGGAAATTACAATAGCAGAATATAGCGAAGATTTAAACTTAATGATCGATGCTATAAATGACGGAAGGCATGGTATTGTGCACCCTCAAATTTTAACACCCGCAATATTAATACAAGAATTGCGACACATCGAAGAATCCAGTAACCATAAATATCCTATAAAATTAATTGGAGATAATTACCAACATATCGTAGATATATCAGAAATAACAATCGGAATTATCAACAAAAATTTAGTCTACATAGTAAAAGTTCCTGTTCTAGAATACGAAGATTTACAAACTTTTCACCTAATTCCAATTCCTATTCCCCATGGAAATAGTTTCATAGCACCCATCCCTTCTCACGAGGTTGTCTTAACAAATATAGAGAAAAATATGTACGTTCCTTCGGATATTGAAACTATAAAACTATGTAAAGAAATCGACGATCTACGTATTTGTAAACGAAATCAACCGACTTATCTTATTAGTGAGACTAATTCATGCGAGACTAGTATAATTCGTCGTCAAAATAAACATGTTACGGATCAAATATGTCAATTCTCTGCTTTTAGAATTCTGGAATTAGTTTTTATTCCGTTGAGAGACCCAAACCAATACATATTGGTTCCGGAGATGCCTTTTGAACTGAGTGTATGGTGTGGAACTCACACACAGACTATTAAACTATTAAACTTAATTAACTTATAAGTTAAATGCCGACGACATTAGTTTATTAAGTAACCAGTTACCTTTGATCCAAGAGTCGTTACGTCACGAAAATTTTAAGGAGTTACGACAAAGCCTAAATGTGATGGAAACTTCCTTACAATCTATTAAATCGAATAGACGTACGAAAACTTGGATAGAAACAAGTACTGATATACTAACCTATTTAGGTTACATATCTTTAGGAGTAATTAGTCTTTATAGTTTATATAAAATTGGATTTTTTGATTGGCTTAGACAAATGATACCTAAAAACTTATGTATAAAATTGTTTTGTATTTCTACTACTGTGACAGCGACCCCTACTGTAAATTATACACCGGTAGCAACAGCGCCTGTTGATCCATCTAATGCAATATTATATAATAGAAACATTGACGACGATATAATAGTATTACCGAAAAGAGTTAGAGTACGACCTTAGAGGACTAAGCTCATTCTAACCTGGGGAGTGTAACGCATTTTCCAAACTAGTTTTAGTTTCTCTTTTCCGCCCCCTATTTTCAAGGACAACATTCCTTGGACCATCGGTTACCCCAAGGAATGGTCCAGAGACAAATAACAGTTGTTTCCTCGCCTACATCCGAGTAGGAACTTTTCATTTATCTACGGACTTCAATGTAAAGTTAACAATTCTTTTAAATAAATATTTGATATCTACGGATATATCTTTTTATTAATAAAATAAATAAGTGTTTTATTTCACCCGTCACACATATCTTCACAGAAAATTAAAAGGCATTAAAATAAGCTGCAACGCTTCTTATTTTAATCCAATTTTGCTTATTTTAATACCAAAATGGATTAAAATAAGCAAAATTGGATAAAAATAAGAAGCGTTGCAGCTTATTTCAATGCCTTTTAATTTTCTGTGTTGTGGGCTATAAATATTTTCAGTGCGTTCAATTGCTTCACTCCTATGTATCCCAATTTCCATGTGCAAATTAAATCTTAATTTTTCATACAACTGAGGATTAGTTAGCCAACGATCATAATATATTTCAAGAGGGTATCCATGTCTTTCGAGATGTTTCCCAAAAATTGTCATAGTATTAGTTGCAGAAAAGGTATAATGTTTTAAAATGTGCATTGCAGTAGTTTCATTACATTTTTCAATAATAATATTCATTAATTTCTGTTTAAGCAAAACGAATTTATCAGTGAGATTTTTCCGATATTCTGGAGAAACATTAACTTTTGCCATGACTGGCAAAGTTATAAGTTTTAATATTTTCGTGACAATTTCTGTTGTAATAAGTCCCTGAAAAATGGGAATTGGAAATTGTAATGATTCTTTAATAACTAAATTGCTTATACCTTGTCGAAGAAAATCTGTCGAAAATTCACTGCCGATAATTATTCCCGAACTTATAAAGTTTGTTAAAAGTGGAACAATAATCAGAGCATCTGTTGTATGCCAAAAGACCTTTAATACCAAATCGTCTACTTTTGAGATGTTTGCAAAATTATAGAATGAAATTTTCTGTGTTGAAAAATCCACGTGGTGATTAATAACTTTATTTTCAATGGCCAAAGATAGATTATTTTTATTATAAAAATTCCATGATTTATTGTCGCAGCATTTTTGAAGAATTGTAAATTTTGGTACGTTTTTATCAAAATTGTTTATGATGAATAAAAAAGTCATCAAGAAAAAAAGAAAATTTACCATTTTGACATTGGCATTCATATTTGTTAACTTTTTTCTTTACAAATTGAAAAGAGATGAGTTAGCCATAAAAAAAACTCATATGTTAATAAGGATAAAATGATCTGAAAAGATGTTTAAATTTTACTAATATTATAAAAAAAAATATTTAAAGATAATTATAATTCTTACCTTCAGCGAAGAAGTTGAATTTTTTTACTAACAAAAAATGAAATTTAAGTTTTTGAAAAGCATATTTACCTTGTAATCTACAAAAAAAAAAAATAATAAAATTTTATATCTTACTCTTTATAACAAAAACTTGTAGCGTGCGCATAAAAATAAATATTAAAAATTTATGTATTTTGAAATTAAAATAAAAATTTTTATTATTAATATTTTTATCTATTTTTTATTGCTCAGAATATTTCCAAATACACAACTCAAAATTATGATAGAGAAAAAAAATATTTCCCCAACAATTCGTTATGATATATATTTCTAATTCAAATTATTATTATTATTATTATTATTATTATTATTATTATTATTATTATTATTATTATTATTATTGTAGAATTTAAAAAAAAATTGAAATTAAATTTTCATATCATTTGCCGCGGGTATACGATTTTAATTACGTGTTAGGAAGAATGGGATATTGAAGATTCATTACTGATACTGAAAAAATGTTGAGGGAGGGTGAACTACAAAACTTCCGAGGGGATCGTTGCACTTGTAGCGAGCACATTCTGTGTTACCGCCCGCGAGTTCAATCTCATGTTAAATAACAATGCCGACGGCTGAAATCTCCCCATAGGGAATTCAGTCCCATATAGATGCAGGAGGGAACAATTCGGTTCTCTAAACAAATTTAAGTGCGTTTCAAAATTTCCACTGAAATAAACAGGGATAACCAGTAAATCATTCAAATTTTACAAACAAAGAACAAATATAACAACTGGTAACTGAATGATATATATATATATATATATAAATAATTAAAAATATTACCTAAATTCTTTTCAACATTTTCAATATTACTGAATTTAATTTTTAATTCTAAATTTAATTTATAATTATTATTTATAACAACTATTTATATTGAATTGATTTTTCATGTGATTTTTTTTATGGTATTTAGAATTAATTTATTTTGGTATTATTTAATTGAAAAAAATTTTCAATTTCATTAATAAGGGGGATTTTTTAAATTAAACAACGGAATAATACACTCATATGGTAAATGAAAATGACTATATTGAGAGAGGATGGAATCCTGTGGTGAGCTACCACAGTCATAAAACAAGAAAATGCATTAGGTTCAGCCACAAATCATCACTTGCTATTTAGGGGGGGAGCTGAAACCCTTGAAAGCAGCACCAGAGCAAGAGTCTAGTTCATTTCATATAATTACGGGATGGCATTGCCGGCTGATATCGAAACGCAATGTGCTATTGCAGCCTTCCATAGATTATATTACTTAACGATAACGGTCTATTAATGCGTGCACATGAACTCAGGGGAATCCAATTACAGAAAAAGTATTATTTCAGTGTTCGCATGCATTTATTATGATGACAACAGGTATACAGAGTAAGCAAATGTTTATTCAATTAATCAATGTCATATAATGAGAAAAGTGGCGTCAACGACATGAAAATTATTCGGAAAACTTAATTTACAATATTGAAAAATTAGTAACTTAATCTAAAAATTTTTTTAGTGTCTTTAGGCAACAAAAGTAATTAGAGTAGGAAATTCTGTTTTTAATCTGGATATTGATGGCAAGTCACTTTACTTCGTTGAGGGAGAAGAAACCTATGATAAATCAAGAACTAGTCTTCATGTGTCATCAGGTTGGAAATGGGAATTCTCATCTCTAGTGGTGGAGCAAGTACTTTTATGCACACATCGAATTGTGGAGGTGACCTGCACTATAGATGATCGTCGAAGAAGATGAGAGAAAAAGAGGAGGCTGTACATCTAGCTTCTTGAGGGTATGTATAGCAGCATTAGTACTGTCAGCCTGGTGACATCAGAAATAGACACGGAATCGATCAACGAAGAGCGCAAAAGCTGCGATAAATTGAAAGTGAAGTAGGCGAACCAGCAGTAGGAGGACTCTTCTTCATCGAAGAAGAGGTCTTTAAGATTTTGAAGTTTTTGGACATTCAGAAGAACGAGAACCTAACGATAAAGGACGGGTTGAAAACTCCTAAATCCATTATCAAGGAGGCGAAGACTAAACATCAAGAGGCAAATGCCAACGACGAGCTGCAGATTTTGCTGGTAAAAATCTCGAGTTGCGAAACCAGAAGAAAGAGTCAACAAACAAAAGCGTTAAAACTAGCAGTCGAGGAGATCAAAAAAGCCTAATAGGAGCCCTAGTAATCCAGACGTAACGAAGGGTCAAAAGAAAAAAGCATATACCAAAAGCGAGGATTCGAAGGTAACGGAAGTACCGAAGCCACACAATTCTGACAGGGAGTAAAAAGTGACGAGGGGATCGACGATGGTCATCATAGTTGCTTAAGGATTTTTATATGCTGACGTTTTGGGTATGCTTTGCAAAGAGGTCATTCTAAATATTAGCCACACATGAGTAGTAGCTGCTAGAGCTACTAAAAATGGAGACTTTTTGATCAAAATCGAAGACATTAATACGCAGCCCTAAAGATCTCCGTATTGGTGTCGCTAGTAACTTCCGTAGTTCACTAAGTTACCAAGCATGGGTAAGGTACAGTCGACGGATTGAAAGGTCACATTTGAGATCAGCGACCTGGAAGCAAGAAGGTGATGTACTTAACACCCAGCAGACCAGAAGGATAACACTTCCGTTTGTTGTTACCAACCCAAATGAGGCGGATAGGCTGGGGAAATCGGGACACATAAAAATTGGGATTTTGTGCTTCCCAATTATAAGGAGAGTTATGATAATCAGATGTCATCAATGTCTCGAATACGGACATATAGGATGAAACTTTGATGAAGAAGTTAGATCGACTGTCTACTTTAAGTGCAGAGAAGTCGATCATAAGTTCGGAAATTGTAAGAAGAGCCCTAGCTTTATTGTAGAAATTTCGGATTAAATTAGAACCACCAGTGTCTTTATTTCTACTAATTAATTTATTACTCTTATAATTAAATATTGTAATATCTAAAACCCTAATTTTGAAGATTAGTTTTACAAAGTCTGACAAGTAATAAAAAATATGATATATACAATGTAATTTCTTAAAATGCGGGTACCATGATCTGTAAAACGGAATTTTATGCTATGTGTATTCTCCTAAAATGGCATTAGTAACACACATTTTATAGGGGTGAATCTTATGATTTTACGATTCTACTTCCCTAATGGGAACGTCTTGCTCTAAATGCTACTTTTGGCTCACATTTCGTACTAGACACATACTATATCCTTTTTCTTTTAAACTAATATGACTCTAATACTTCTACTAACTAGGTAATTGTTTTGTTTGTTAAATTTCTTTTTAAGAAATTAAGTATCATATCAGGTTTATGTTATATTATATAATTTTTATATTTTATGTTTTCTAATTAGATAGTATAATTCTAATTAGATAGTTGACCTCAGCAAAATGAAATTTTACTTTATGAGAATTAGATATAAACTTTAATCCTATTAACTTTACTACAGTTTTATCTTCGTTGCAATAAGGTTGAAAATATATTTTACAACTTCATTAACGTCAATCAACATTAGTTGGCCTACTATATATAATTGTATTTTAAAGTCGATATTTTCACATGTGTTTATAAGAGGACTATGACTAAGGTGTGTGTTTAAGGCGAGTATAGAGAAAATATTTCTCAACAATAATTTCTTAAAGAATTGAAATAACACGATGGCGATATTTTGCAAACTTAAAAAGCTTATTATTTGGTAAGAAAATAAAATTCTTAGGAATTGAGAGAGGTAATAAAAGTCGACGTCTGACTAAAACCGTCTTTTCTCACTTAAGAAACTACTCACCGACCAGCTGAGTAGTTTCCCAAGTTGAAAGGAACTTGTACGGTCAAACATGAAAGTGACATCTTTAAAATCGTTTCAATACAAAATGTTTTTTTTGTTAAATCGTTACATGATAACAGTAATTTTTTCAAATCCTTATATCTAAAAAAAAAAAATTCACATATCGATTTTCAATTAACGACTTTTGTATATAAAATGGCATAAAATAATCGTATATGTAACGATTTATTCCTCGTTTCCCATACGGAAATATCGGATTCTCTTTCTTTTTCCATTTCTTATCATTCGAAAGAATTCCTTTTTTGCATAAACATCACTGAATTTGAATAAAGTGTCAACATACAAAACATACGTTTATAAAAATAGAAGAGAGTGTGAATCCCCACGCGCGTAAATCTATGCGCATAATCTATAGGATTGGCGTACGCGGGAGGAAGAAGTATCACTTTCTTCCATGTCGGGTCGAAGGTATAAATTCAATCCTTAAACAAATACCCTGCTTCCTTTCAAGCCGAAAAGTCGTTCGATCCGTGATCTGGATTCAGGAATTCTGCTTTAAAGGCGCCGACAATCCGCTCTCACTCGCCCCATGTTATATACGAATGCGCCATTGGCTCACTTACACACAGTGCACATTCAAACCATTCTCAACACCCCTGAGACAAAGACTTTTTTCTTCTTCTTTTTTTTTCAATCCAGTGACGTAGATATTAAAAAAAAAATTTATTTTCATCCTATATGAAATTAATTAAATAGATGAATATGTAATTTAAGGACCTCTAGGCAAAAATGTTCACAATGAACTTATCAAATCGAAAGGGTACATTTTGAGACCAAAGAAACTTGATAAGGATACATATAGAAATATTTTCAATTGTATTGATTAAGAATTAAATTTCACGAAAATTAAAATTTTTAATTACAGTGGTTCTTTAATTATCATTCTTGTTAGTAATCATCGTTTTAGCTTTGTTGAAAACAATTTTGTTAGTAAAAGTTTTAATGAGAGAAAATTTGAATCCCTTGTTTGAATATAATTTTTCAAACTAACTTTCTTATATACCAGACGAGAGGACATCAGATATATCTAATTATTGACCTAAAGACCAGCTTGGATGTCTCTATCGATTTGATTAATAAGGCCATTCGATCATGGCAATTATGTTGAAGGCTAACTAGACACACGAGCACCCAAATATACTGAACACCCTCGAAGCATGTAAACGCTCCACAAACTCTATGTAAATGCACCATCATGACATGTAAT